TGTGGAGAAACACATGGACTTACAGAATATCTTTATTGTGCTCCTACTGATATTATCAGAGTGGATCTCTTCTTTATGTACACACAGGTAGGTAGGTAGTCTTGAAGTTCTGTGGCATCTGAGGGTAACACTGAACCCTAGATTTTAAGTTGCATGAGGTGTGTCTCTGGGCTTTTCCATCCTTGATCCAAGACAACTGGGGTACCAAGTTGTAAAAGTCTGCAGCATTTTCATAATTGGCAGCAATACTTTTTTCACAAACTAATTTGTAAAACACTTTTGTGTCTCCGTTAAAATCAGTACTAACAATGCCTTTTTATTCTTTTTTTTTCAGTTACGAGTTTTCAAATTGGCAAAATCTTGGCCAACACTGAATATGCTGATAAAGATTATTGGTAACTCAGTGGGGGCTTTGGGAAATTTGACGTTGGTGCTGGCCATCATTGTCTTCATTTTTGCTGTGGTTGGTATGCAGTTGTTTGGTAAAAGCTACAAGGAATGTGTCTGCAAGATCTCCAATGACTGTATACTTCCACGCTGGCACATGCAAGACTTCTTCCACTCTTTCTTGATAGTATTCCGAGTGTTATGTGGAGAATGGATAGAGACTATGTGGGACTGTATGGAGGTTGCAGGCCAAGCTATGTGCCTTACTGTCTTCATGATGGTCATGGTGATTGGAAATCTAGTGGTACGTAATCAAAATGTTTCAAAGATTTATTCTGGGGAAAAAAACAATTCAATCGTGCAATGCAATGAGAATTCTGGCCCCATCCCAATAAAGCACTTAAGCATATGATTTCAACTGAACTACTCATATGCTTAAAATTAAGCTTAAGTGCTTTGCTGGATTGGAAACAGAATACTCCACACCTTGCAGGATCAAACTCATGATATATAATTATAGAGTGAACTTTAGTCACTCTCTTAATTTTTGTTTTTGCAATTTGCAAATACAGTGTGCTTCAAATAATGTTCAGCCTGTGCCTTTTTTATAAACTTATTTATTATGTGTCCGGTCACATAGAACACATGGTATAGTTTCTGTTCTCTGATTGGAGAAGTGAAACTTTTTAAACAGGATGATGAAGAATAACAAGAAGAAACTTCCTGTCTGAATTTTTGAATAAAATTTTTTTGTGCCAATATTTGTAAACTTTTGGGATTCAAAAGCATTTTCTCAAATACTTGCCAGTTGTCTGACTATTTGTGATTGGTGAATAATATGGCCCTATGAATCATAGCAAACCATATTTAGTTCTTTCATTTGTCATAATATTTGTGAATCACTTTTTTTACTATATGATTTGCCCTTCTTCAAATTATCATGAATTATAAACACACCTTTTTCTAATGCAAGTGTTTTAGTGTAAGTTTATTAAAGATATAACACTCCATTCATTATAAAAACACAGTTCTTGGGTTGTTTGGGGTTGTTTGTTTGTTTGTTTGAAACTTTGGTCCTTTAGACACATCCTTCACATAGCTTTAGAAAGTATTCTAGCAAGAAATTATTTCCACTGAGATAAATCTAGGAATTCCTTTTCTATCCTGTTCCAGGTTCTGAACCTATTTTTGGCCTTGCTACTGAGCTCATTTAGTGCAGACAACCTTGCTGCCACCGATGATGATAATGAAATGAATAATCTCCAGATTGCTGTAGCAAGAATTGAGAAGGGAATAGATTATGTGAAAAGAAAAGTACGTGAATTCGTCCAAAAATCCTTCGTTAAAAAACAAAAAGCTTTAAATGAGATCAAGCCACTTGAAGAACTAAACAAAAAAGACAGCTGCATTTCAAATCATCTTACAGTGGAAATAAACAAAGACCTTGATTATCTTAAAGATGGCAATGGAACTAGTGGCATAGGCACAGGCAGCAGCGTGGAAAAATATATCATTGATGAAAGTGATTACATGTCGTTCATAAACAACCCAAGCCTCACTGTAACAGTACCGATTGCTGTTGGAGAATCAGATTTTGAAAATTTAAATACAGAAGAGTTTAGCAGTGAGTCGGATCTGGAAGAAAGCAAAGAGGTATTTAAATACTGCTTATATACTTATTTTTTAATATTGTGATAATTTTTCTGTTTTTCTTTCAGCGTGAACTAGTGCAGGGATGAACTGGGCCCAAAGAATAGATACATCTTGCATGAAAAACATTTCTTTTTAGCTTTCTGAATGATCAGCTTTTGTAGACCAAGAGTCTAATAAAATGATGTTTAAGTTCAGGTTATCTGATGTACTACAAAACCATTTAGTTGTTAAAACTGAAAAATAAAGCCAATGGAAGAACACAAGATACCATAAATGTTTTTTACAAAGTAATGAATCGAATACTAGAATTGCAATATAGTCAAACACAACAGCCTGGACTCGCTCAGCCATTTTGACCCAAATGTCATCATTTTTAATAAATAAATAAATAAACCACAATAAGTAAACAAATGGGAAAGCACATAGGGTTGAATTCTGGCCATACTGATGTCAATGGGAGTTTTGTCATTCATTTCAGTGGATCAGGATTTCATCCATAATCTTACAGCAGAGGGTGTCCATAGCGAATCATCTGAACCAGAGATCACAAATTACTGACCTAAAGAACATGAAGATATTCCTTAAGTTATCTGAGACAGTCCAGCCCACCAAGACTTGAATGCTATGTTCATACAATAGTCCTTGAAATTCTACCCCATAAAGCAGTTTAGAGCACTCCCTGGGACTACCCCGACAATCTTTACTGGTGATGATATTGTCACCATTTCCCAGTTAATACTTGAGGTATTAATAACCATCTCCCATTTTGCTGTTAAAGATGGAACAATTTAAATAGTGGCCAAATTTAAGTAAAACTATTCCTCCCCGCATCACACACACCTCTGCACAATGTACCTAGATGCAGTATAAGAGGTCACAGGAGGAGCATTTCCTTACTGAACTCACAGATGTTTGATTTATGGCTAAAGCGTGAGATCTAATGACCTTTCTCATTAGTTTATTTTCTTAGCTAACTTGAAAGCAAGCAGGCTGTCATAAGTGAAAATGAACAATCCTTGAAAGACTATGGAATGACATTCAAAGTACTTTTGATCTGTGAAACTGATAAATCCTGGATTTATGCAACAGTATAACACAAAAAGAAGAGTTGTGAAAACTATATAAAGTACAGTAAATAATGAAAAGTTCAACAAGCAACTGGAATCTTTGTCTTTTATACTTCTCTATATAATTCTTTCTGATAGTAACAACATGAATGAGGCAGAACATCAGGAGTGCGATGGCTCCTTGCCTTCCCGCTTCCTCATCTCAGCTAAGAGCTACAGAAACTCTGACACCAGAGGGCTTATAAACTAAGGTCCCAGTCCTGTAAACAGTTATGTATGTGCTTCCCTTTATTATCCTGATTAGCTCAGTTGATTTCAATGGGATTATTCTCTGTAATAAAAAAATTAAGCAAGTCCATATGGGTTTACAGGATCAGGGCATAAGGCCTGTTTCTGCAAACATGGTAGTAAACACTAGACTTGGTAGTAAGTGTTTGCAGGATCTATCCCAGAAAAGGAAAATAAATTACATTTTCTAAAGATATCATCTGTGCAGGATTCTCACTCCTGGATCTTGTGCCTCCGGTGAAAGTCATTCAGGAAACTCCCCCAATTTAAAGATTTTGGCCCTCTGGGGCACTGTAGGCCAGTTTGAGGGTTTTGCTAATGGAACACTGATGTCCCAGCACACAGGTTTTTCTGGTGTGTTGGTACCTCAAAGACACATTTTTCCAACCAGTGCCCTTCTGGTTGCTTTGCACTGTAAGATGAACAGAGGTGCCTACAGGAATTCAGTGCCTTAATGTCTAAACAGCTCAGGGCATTTCCTGGTATTTCAGCAGCATTTCCTTGAATGCATGGCCTCACATTCCAGGATCCTATGGTTCCTTTTTTGGCAAGTCTCTCAGAGCAGTTCATGTTTGCTGACACATCACAATTGCATTAACTTTCCTTTTATACAAGATGAAGGGAAGCTACCTCCCAGGAAGTGCTGCTGAGGGATGTGTATGATGCAGGAATAATATTGAATTGTGGTGCTAAATTTTCACTTCGTGAGAACTGACATAGGGAGGCAACAAGGCACAGAACTTTGCGTCGTCATGTATAAAGGGGCTTCCCTCCTTGTCAGCAGGGCCAGCTCCAGGCACCAGCCTTCCAAGCAGGTGCTTGGGGCGGCAATCTGCAAGCGGCGGCAGTCCATGTGTTTTTGTCGCCCCAAACAGGGCACCAAATTGCCGCCGCGGATGGCGGGGCCAGTCCATGGGCCGTTAGGGTGGCACACACGTTTCTGTGGCGGTGGCAATTCGGCGGCAGCTTCTATGTTCAGCTGCCCGTGGGGGCAATTCGGCGGCTTCTGTCTTCCGGTGCACGGACTGCCCCCACCGTCCATGGCGGCAATTCGGCACGCTGCTTCAGGCGGCAAAAACAGTAGAACCAGCCCTGCTTGCCAGCATGACTGAATGATACTTTTGCATCCACTTTCTTTCCCCTCTCAAGAATGTGAGCTCTGGGGTGGATCCAGAGTTTTCTGGATATCAAGTTTTTCTTTCTGTGCCACCCTGCAATTAAAGTTACCTTTATCTCCATACTCCTGTAGCTAAAAGTGGTGGTCTATGCCTTACCAATGGTTTCTGGCTTTTAGAGTGTCTCAAATATTGGATACCCCCTAGAACTATGCAGGAGATTAATGTCAAGTTCCTTCTTGGTTTTGCAAATCTCGGTTTCTTTGTTTTAGGCAGAAGAATTTAAAGTGTGCTTTAGCCAATCGGTTCAATAGACAGAGGCAGAGGCAGTGTCAGCCTCCTTCCAGCCAGCGGCACATGTTCTACTGCTGAGCAGACAGCTCTGGATCCTTTCCCTTCCCCATACCAACTCTGAGGGTTTGCACAGCAGGAGGGGCGTGGGGCCAGGAAGGAGCAACACCATTTTTTCCTTCCCCTTTGTGGGAAGCAGACAGCTATGAGAGGGAGTCGCACACAAGGGGGAAGACCATTTTTGGTGGAGATAGGCACAAGATAAATGACTGTGTGGAGGGACGACATCTATGTGGGGGACTGGTGCCACTAAGCATGGGGAGTGACAGCCAACGGGAAGGATAGGTAGGGGAGGGGAGATGGGGCTGGCTATGAAGAGGTAAAGCTAGGGGAGTACAACTGAGGAAAGTGGGAACTAGGTGAGGAGGAGCCTGGGGGAAGGTGGAGATACTGGGGATTGAAGAGGAACTTTGGAGGGATAAAAAGGTAAGATTTGGGAGAGAGACAATGGGAAACTGTGAGACAGGGAATCTCCGGAATGGAAAATTAGTGGGATCTTTGGGTGGACATCAGGGAAAAAGGTTAATTATTCGGGTGGGTGAACAGAGACAGAAGAGGAAGATTGGTACATGACAGGAAGGGAACTCTTTGGCTTGACAATGAGTAGACATGACACATTGGCTTCCAAGGTGGGGGAAGAAAGCAAGGAGAAACCTGGAAATGTATTACTTTTCCTATAAAGAAGGCCTATACTGCTACTCACTAGAATTAAGTTAAGGACTGTTCATTTATCTTTTTCCCCCATCTTTGGCTAAAGCAAGCTGTCCTTTGCACTCTTTATACTTTAACTTGACAGAATTCTATTTTTTTAAATAATTTCAGTCAATAATATCAATGTTTATTTTTAAGCATTTTTCCAATTTTTATTAATTTTAATTTTCATAGTTGCAGGAAATTATGGGGAGGTCAAACAATAACAATTATTTAATAACAGCAGATTTGAGATTCAAAGAGTTAAAGATTTATAAACCATTAAAACACAAATTATCATCACTTGTTAAAATATATAAAGTAAATATCCTCAAATCAACAAATCAGACCTGGTTTTACTATTCATTCACTAGTCCATTTGTAACAAGCCTAATTCAGCAGTTTAAATCACTGAGTTTTGACTCAAGCAGCATTTTGTAAAAAGAAGGACGACAACGACCCAGGGAATTATAGACCAGTCAGTCTAACTTCAAGATACCGGAGCAAATTATTAAACGATCAATTTGTAAGCATCTGTAGGACAATAGGGTTATAAGGAATAGTCAGCATAGATTTGTCATGAACAAATCCATGCCAAACCAACTTGATTTTCTTTTTTGATAGGATTACTGACCTAATGGATAGGGAGGAAGCAGTAGATATGATAAACCTTGGTTTTAATAAGGCTTTTGACACAGTTACACATGACGTTCTCATAAGCAAACTAGGGAAATATAGTCGAGATGAATTTACTACAAGGTGGGTGCACAACTGATTGAAAGACTGTAGTGAAAGAGTAGTTATCAATGGTTTGCTGTCAAATTGGGAGAGCGTATCTAGTGATGTCCCGCAGGGCTCAGTCCTGGTCTGGTAATATTCAATATTTTCATTAATGACTTAGATAATGGAGGAGAGATATGCTTATAAAATTTGCAGATATCACCAAGCTGGGATGGGTTGCAAGCACTTTGGAAGGCAGGTTTAAAATTCAAAAGGACCTTGACAAATTGGAGAATTGGTCTGAATTTAATAAGATGAAATTCAATAAAGACAAGTGAAAAGTACTTCACTTAGGAAGGAAAAGTTAAATGCACAACTACAAAATGGGGTATAATTGTCTAGGTGATGGTACTGCTGAAAAGGATTTGGGGGTTATAGTGGACCAAAAACTGCATATGAGTCATCAGTGTGATGCAGCTGCAAAAAAGGCTAGAATGATTCTGGGATGTAGTAACAAAAGTGTTATATGTAAGACACAGCAGGTAATTGTCCTGCTTTACTCAGCAGTGGTGAGGTCCCAGCTTGGAGTACTGTGTCCAATTCTGGGCACCATAATTTAGAAAGGATGTGGACAAATTGGAAAGAGTCCAGAGGAGAGCAACAAAAATAATAAAAGGTTTAGAAAAACTGACGTATGAGGAAAGGCTGAAAAAACTGGGAATGTTTAGTCTTGAGAAAAGAAGACTGAAGGAGGATCTGATAAGTTTTTCAACATGTTAAGGACTGTTATAAAGGGGTCGCAGATCAATTTTTCTCCAGGTTCACTGAAGGTAGGACAAGAAGCAGTGGGATTAATCTGCAGCCAGGGAGGTTTACGTTAGATATTAAGAAAAACTTTCTAACGATAAGGATAGTTAAGCTCTGGAATAGGCTTTCAAGGTAGGTTGTGGAAATCCCCTTCATTGGAAGCTTTTAAAAACAAGTTGGACAAACACCTGTCAGTGATGATCTAGGTTTACTTGCTCCTGCCACAGTGAAGGGGGCTGGACTTGATGACTTATCAAGGTGCCTTCCAGCCCTAAATTTCTATGATTCTATGATTTTTCTTTCTTTGCCTATTTGTAATTTTTGGTTATTTATCAATGGAAATATTTTTCCATCGGTTTGTGTGTGTACAGTGAAATCAATGTTTACTGACATTTACCAATTCAAGTCTAATCCTTCCAAGACTATTTATAATGCTAGGAAGTGACGGTAACTAGAAACTAACTACATAAAAAAGTAAAATTGATTAGTCTTTTTTCATTGACCAAGCTAGAGGTGAGCTTCAACCATTGCTCATATTGAATTGTATTTTACTAAGCAGGTAGTCCCATATAGTGAAGAACAATAAAGAAGTTTCAGTCTCTTTAATTAGGTGTTTTCTACTTTTATGAATGCAAAATAAAATTTAGAAAAAAGTTTAAAAAATTAAGAGCATTGCAAATACCTCTATCAAATGTCAACCGAATACAGAAATAGATCAATAATGCTGTCCTCAAACATTTTTCTTCACCAGTAGTTGGAAGTATAGCAACAGATGTCACATCTCATCTCTTGAAATGAGCATTTAATATATAAAAGCGAAGGCCATGATACTTTAAAGATTTATACACGTATTTAACTTCATGCCCTGTGAGTCTTTCCATTGAAATCAATAGGACTACTCACACCATGTCAGATTAGAAGGTTAGGCATGTGTGTAAGTCTTCATCATTACTTTTTTCAGTTTCAAAATGTTGCTATTTCATTTATAGCATTAACATATCAGACACAGCATGCAGTTTTATTGCATGTTAGTTCCTCCTCCATAATAGGTAAACTTTCACAATTATCATCAAACAAAACTTAGTGTTTTTCATATCTCAGAAGATTGGGTTAGACTACTGAGTTCCCCTAGCAGGTGAAACATGACAGGATTGTTTGTCAACTAAAATGCTATCATAATATTATATTCTTCATCCAAGTCTGGTCTATGCTTGTAGATGTCAGAATTTGTATCATGACTTTCAGTTCATTTCATGTTTTCATTAAAAGTTGCTTCTCTTGTCTGAGAATTTACTCTTGTTAATTGCAACTACTTTATGACAGAATGAGGCATACTACATATTTCACATGAACTGTTTTCTCTTTTCCATCTTAATTTTCTACACTAAGCATCTGTTATACCCAGAATTCAATGTATTCCACAATGCTGCAGCTGTGGATATTGCTCCAGAATCTCAGCTTTTTGTCTTTTTTTCAAAATTGCTTCAAGCCCTTATGATTTCCGAGCGAATCCTGAAAAGCTTGATTTTCAAAGAGTAGCTGCTTACCACTTTGTGAAAATCCGGTCCTTTACAGTGTCCCCAAATGGGCACCCAAATATTAAAATTTCAGCTGAAGTGACTTCCCCAAAGTCATACAAGATGTCAGTGGTAAAACTCCTCAGAACTTCTTAACTTTCAACCTGTGCTTGGTCCTCAAGTTTACAAACATAAGCAAGCTTTGGGTTCATTGTTCAATGAAACATAAAACCAGTTGGTTACAAACCTTTTGCATAGTGCTGTTATTCAAATACTTCTTATATGTCTGCACTGGTTAGCAGTACAGCAGCGTACACACCGGAGTGTGTTTGTGTGTGTATGTGTACCATTAATTTCCTTAACTAAGTCTTGATGATGCCTATTGGAAATAATTTCCCTAAAAAGTTTACTAAGGTTTACCACATCTCAGCTACTCACTAATATTCCTTTATTAGTTAAAGGCCACTTGATATTGATTACATCCAAAATTCAAACATATACACACTTATACTTTATATTCTAGACTTAATACAGTTATAAGCATTGGCCAAATACTCACAACAAAATCAGGCTCAGGAGATACCGTCATATTATGGTGTGACTCCGGAAGGATAAGGAACAGCTCTGACAAAGAAACTCCAAAAAACTTGCCCTTTATACACTATAATAAACAAGTGATGTCATGGCAGGTTATCAGACCTTAGCTAAAGCTGGATGAGGGCTAAACCCAGTTCTCTGCCCCAGTTAAAACAAGCAGTCCTAACTAACTACTGGACTAAGCATTTCTTTATCATAAATTAAACAAACCTATCTAACCAATTATTTATTCTGCCTGGACCCCATTAAACCATGTTTTCTTTATTAGTATTACTTCAACCCAAACCTTAAAGAAAATAATGCTGGTGTTTCAAGGGACACTACAAATTTAATACAAACAATCCTTCTTTCTCATGATCTCCTTCTTTTTGATCATGTGCTTTGGGCCCATCACTCATGCTAACAACCAAACTCAATTTAAAACCATAGTTCACTCAGGCCCAGGAATATAGGCCTATGTTTCTATAATGCTTTCCAGAAACAATAGTAATAATTAATAAAATGCCTGGTTTAACTTTATATTAAAAGGACACATAGAGTACTGAAGTGGCAGCTAAAATGAGCACAAATGTATCAATTACTTACCTAAATTGAGCACTAAAACATTCAAAAATGTAAAAGAGTAGACACATACTATTAATTTTTGCTATGTATGTGAGCATTAATATTTACCTTAAATACGTTGATTAAATCTTTGTGGGGGTTTTTTTATTTAACAGAAGCTAAATTTGTCCAGCTCATCTGAAGGTAGCACGGTTGATATTGGACATCCTGAAGAAGAGCAACATGAAGCTGAACCCGAAGAAGCTACTGAGCCAGAGGCCTGTTTTACAGAAGGTGAATGAAGCAAAATATAATCTGTACTGTTAAAAATATCAAGTAAAATGAAATATTTACTTACACTGTCTAATAATATTTATGGCTTGAAATATTTGCTATATTGTCAAACTTTAACACTAAATAATCATGAATTTTAGCAATGGTATGTTCAGTACATAATATACACTGAAGATAATACTGCTGATGTGGCTTTATAATGATTTTCAGATAATAAAGAATTGGGGACAATTATATCATATAAGCAAATTGCCATTATTCCCCAAAACAGAAGAAATCTGTTTATTTTTCTGAGGGTTCTGAATTAGCTCCAACTAGTGTAGTATTTAAAAATTGGAAACTGTCCTAATTAGGTGGTAATAACACTTAGCACTCATTAAGCACTTTTCATAGCTAGCTCTCAGAGACAATTACAAAGCTGAATAAGGTTTTGTCTACACTAGCACTTTTGTCAGTAAAACTTTTGTCGGTCAGGGTTGTGAAAAAAACCACCCCAACCGACAAAAGTTTCACTGACGAAAGTGCTGATGTGGACAGCGCTGTGTCAGCGGGATACACTCTTCTTCTGACATAGCTACCACCACTTGTTGGGGGTGGTTAATTATACTGGCGGGAGAACTCTCCCACCTACACAGGAGACCTTACAGTGGCACATCTGCAGCGGTACAGCTGTGCTGCTGTAAGGTCTGTAGTGTAGACATAACCTTAGTGTATCAGTAACTGCTTCTCAGTCACTGGTAAATAAAAACTCCACAAAACTCCATCTTGGTTTAAATGCTGGCCAAGCCTTTATTTAAACAAATTGTCAAAAGGAGAAAAAATTCTCTTCACTTGCTACTTGGCAGAAAAACCAGTCCAATGCGGTCCCCCATTCCACTCATTGGCCTTTCATGCCCAACTCCACTGAACACTTTATGGGCCATGAAATAAATAGTGTTATGAACTCGGTGCAACTTTGTTAGGGCAGAGTCAAAACTTTGTTCAAACTAATGTGTGAAACACAGTCTTCATTTAAGATAATTGTAAGAGACAGTTAAGGGGATGCACCTAAAACAAGGCTTAAGAGACTCTGCCCAGAAGCTAGCACCATATGGGTGGAGGATTCTGCTGAGTATTGTGATTAGGGGTGGAGAGAGGGCAGGAAGATCAAGATGTGAGAGAACACACACAACCTGAGAACAGACAAGAAAAGACGGAGGAAGAGACAAAAATCAAGAAAGCCAAGCAATAGCCTGTAAGACTAGAGAGAGAGAGAGCTTTTTGGATCTCTTGGCTAACGAGCTATAAACTAAGAAACTACTCCTTTTGTTATTGGTTCCTTCAGCATTCGGAGAAAAAAGCCTTTGTATGTTCCTTATAAATAAACAAGATTGCATCAGAAAGAATACCAGACACTATTTCTGCTTCCAACTGGAACATCCCCCAGGTTCTGAAATTTGACAAGCCACTCAGGTCAAAAAGAGGCCACAATAGGATATAGACCCTTAAATACAAATTCACCATTAAACTCTTTCCTTGTGAGAAAACTGGGTCCCAGGCAAGAGGTGCCATCAATTTATGCATAGTGATAAGCTTCTCTCTTCAACCTGACTTCACCAGGATTCCTTTACTTCTTGGCACTCTGCTCCAATTTAGAGTAAGCTTCTAGGCGAAAATGCATCATAACTGCAAAGAACTCTTGCCAAAGGTGGAAAATCAGTGACTAGCTCATACCTCAGGGACTACAAAAGTTGCATCACTGACGGGACACATTACCCTAAGTTGTTATTGGCACTGAGTAGAGGACAACCATTCTTGCACCAGTTCACCACAGACTGGTCCACCATGGAGGGGAACTCTGATACTTCCTGAGGAATCCTATTTTTTGTGTGCCTTCAAAGTTGCTAAAGGTTTTGGATCACCAGATGAGTGAAGATTAATGGAATCCATTTAGTGCATTCTGGTTCAGCCCATTGTGTGATTACTGGGTAAAAATCAACACTCACATAAGGGGATGCAACTCCATTACAGTCAGTTGAGTTGTACCTATCCGTGTCATCATTTGGCCCATTTTAGTTCTAAAAGCTGTCAATTGTAAAATTTTCAGGCCAGAAAGATTAATGAATAAGAGGAAAAAATCTGGAAACTCAGTGGGAGTTGCATGTGCTCAACAGCACTGAGAATAAGGCCATAGCTGTCTAAAGTTGGGCACCCATAATACAGAAGTCACTTTTGAAAATCTAAGACTAAATTACTTACACTAATTACAAATTAATTAGTGGCACTGTTTAGACTAGACCTTTTACCCTTATTTTTGATTTTCACACCTATGGGTTACCCACAAAATATATTCACTCCCACCTTTAAATAAAACTGTCTATGCTAATCTTCATCAAAACTGGTAAAATAAATTAATTAAGATAATTTTCTAGATGGTACAGTTACATTTCATAGATACACATAATCTTAGATATATAACCTGATGCATTTTATATTTGATGATTACGTTGACCTTATGAGCTCTCCTATAATAAAAGATAATGCTTACAAAGGTTTTTCAGTTGCTGTTCATTGTATCTTTGACAAGAAGTAGCTAGTCATGCAAAATGCCTGCAAAGCAATCCATTTTCTTTTTTTCTGCTTGAAGTATTAAGTAACATTCCTCTCAGATGAAGTGATGTACAAGAGAAAAAAAACAAAAAAGATGTTATCACAGTATGTTACAGGAGATTAACTGCACTGTAAAAGGATTTTTTTCACAACTGATGAATGTTTTCCCTGTAAAACATACTTTTCTAAGAACATACATAGAACTATAAGGCTTGTGAACACATTTTAAACACTTCATTCAACTTTTAAAATGTGTGAGTGAGTTTAGTGCTTGTGAGAATGAGGGACTAACAGGGTCTACTTAACCCAGGGCAAATAGTTGATATGCAAGATTTAGTGACATAGCTGTTATTCTGTACTTCATTCCTAACTTGTAATTCCCTGCTTATCCCAGTCAATGGCCTCTCTTCGGGAGAGAGGTAGCAATACTGCCAAATTGAAAGGCAACTTTGTGACATATACAAATAGGGTGAAACTGCCAAATATAATTAATTTGTTGAATAAATCATTGTGCAGATATTGCTGGAAGTTTGTAGGTTTTTATTTTTCTGGCAACTTGCTGATTTTATGATTATTTGGCCAAATTAGGGGCCCAACCTTCTACCCTTATGCACACTGTAATAGTACCTTATTGGAATCGGTAACATTGATTTCAGTGAAACTTCTCATATAGTAAAGTATCTCTTAGCATGCTTAAGGTGGCAGAATCTGGCCCTAACTCGGTAATCTTGAATCATATTGCACATGTATGGAATTAATGATGCATTTCTGAATTCTGTTTATGAATTTTAGTCAAGAGTTTTTTTTAAAGTTATGGCAAAGAGGAGATAAACCTCCATCCTCCCTACGCTCCATTTGAGGGAGTAGGAATTTTTGATTTGGATCATTTGCAATCAACACCACAAGTATACAGTTATTATCTGATTTAAGAATAAGAACTTTTCGTGGATTTTTTTAAAAGAAAAATAGAAATTCGGTTCCTGAATTCAGAATTGAAATGTGGTGGGTTTGTACAGGATTTTACCATCAATAATCTGTTTTCAAATCTTTTCTTACAAACTGCAGAAACCATAGTCTTGATTTGGAGACCAGAGGATGAAAGTTGTTATGGCCCTGATTCAGGAAAGCTGTCATTTCCTTCTTTACAGAATCTCTAAAATCAATCTTTTTTTTCTTTTCATCAGCACCACTAAAATCCTTATCTATTCCCTGCTAATTTCTTACCTCAACTACTGCAAACTTTTCTTTGGCCTCTCTGTATCCTAGCTAGTCTTACTAGATTGTGCTCAAAATACATTCTGTTCCACCTCTCTGACTATCCTCTTCCACTCCTTTTACTGGCTTTCTCTCTGCTTTTTTTTCCAATTCAGACTTGTCATCTTCAAGGCACTGAACAAATCTGTCCCTGCCTACATCTTTGCTTTAATTTCCTCCTAATCCTCCTCCCACTATGTAAAGGTCTCTTAAGGCAACATATGAAAGTACCATTTTTATCTTTCTTCCACTTTCATCACTGTAACTTCTTCCATGCCATCTCATATACCTGGAACTCCCCCCTTCTTCTTGTAAGCTGCTCATCATCCCTCTCTTCTTTCAGTCCTTCCTTAAATTGAACTTCCTCCAGTACCTTATCAGAATTAACTCCCCAGACCACGTTGTGAGCTCTTCAGGGCATGGATCATGTCTTACATTTGTGCCTGATCCTCACTAGAACATCTAGGTGCTACTGGAATGTAAATAATGTATTACAATAACTTATGTCCACACATAAGTGCATTAAAAAATATAAACCTGCTTGAAGTTTGACTGTATATTTGTACTAATTGTATTTAATTTGGCTTCTAAATTCTTTGTGGGAGGGACCATGTCTTCATCTGTTTGTGTAGTACTGAGCATAGTTAGCTCTCAGCAAAGTAGAAATACTTTCCCATTCTTTCATTTGATGTTAAATACCAATTGTCTTATTAACCGCATTTGATTTTACTGCTTGAAAAATGGGCTTTGAAAGTATATTTCTCAGAGTTTAGATTTTCTTATAGCCATAAAGTACATGGAAATATAATTGCTGTACCACTAGTCAAATAAATAATCAGACATTATCTCTTTAAGCATCACTTCTCTATTTTGCCTTCTCAAAATGTATGTTGTTTTACAGGCTGTGTACGAAGGTTCAAGTGCTGTCAAGTCAGCCTAGAAGAGGGGAGAGGAAAACAATGGTGGAATCTTAGGAAAACCTGCTTCAAGATAGTTGAACACAACTGGTTTGAGACTTTCATTGTCTTTATGATTCTCCTTAGTAGTGGTGCTCTGGTGAGTGAAAACCTGAAATAAGTGTAATGTTTCTGTGGGAAAATATTTTAAAATGTTGTTTATCAACACAGTTTTTAGCATATTTTCCCCTGCAGATAAAAAAACAAATGTGTTATCTTTAAACAGAAAGGGCCAAATGTTAATGCTTTGAATGCTAGTTAATGCTAGTGTTAATGCTTTGAATGTGAAAAGGGGGCAAAAGGAGTTCTCTTTCCACAGCATAGCCACATAGGCACAGTCATCATTCAGTGTTTGGACTAGGGGATTCAGGGAGGTATTACTGAGACAGGTGGCTTGGGGGACCATTGAGTTGCAAACATAGTGCAATATATGGAAAAAGAGAAACATAATTAATGTATGATTTATTTGGGCTTGCTTCACCCCCAGTTTGTATCAGCATCTACCAGTATAACTCAGGGATGTTCATTGCAGAAAATCTGCCTCCAGGTGGTACAAATTCAGTGCAACTCCCTGCTCTTCTTGGAAAATCCAAGCTAGCCTGTACAGTTTAAACAGCCCCCTTACTCCTCCCACATACATACATCTTAATACTGTGGTGATATCAGTCAATGTGGATCTTTTCTAATTACTGCCTTCTAAGAACAAGAATTCTCATGAGTGCTTTTTTCTCCAAAGGAATCATAAACTCCCACTCATGTAGACTGAATAGCCACAGGAATGTCTCTAAAAATACAAACTACCAAACACCTTGTGAAAACTTACCAAATAAGTGAGAACAAAATAAAGAGAAAATGTCATTAATATAAAATAGTAGCAATAAAAGAAGCACACCACAAAAATGCCATAAAAATATCCTGAATGCTCCTCATAAGGAAAGGGGGCAGAAAAGCTGAACTTCTGTAAAACCAAATCTGGATCCATATTCACTTGAGGAGTCTAAGCAGTCATGCTTTGCAATGTCTTTGGCCAGTCATTTAGATACAGTTCTCTAAAGCATGTTATTTGTTATGTTGGTTTCAAATAAAACAAAATCCAAGGCTTTTGTCTGGCATGAACTAAAGCCCATAAATACCATCCAGCTTGTGTTTTACTTAATACCAATATAACAATTTAATAAACAATTTTATACTGAACATGATATAAAAAATCGGTATTTTTACCTCTAGGACTTGATTCAAAGCACATTGAAGTCAATAAAAAGGCTCCTATTTACTTCAGTGAGCTTTGGATCAGTCTCCTAATGAATGGAGAAAGGAGGTCACTGGGAAGAACTCGCAAGAGAAGGACATGTTGGCAGGATGACTGGCTAAGATGAATTTCCACCACCATGTTTGGAAAAAATTCACATAATTTCACATAGTACTGTCACCTTATGCTTGTGAAACTTGCAGAACTATGAATCACTCACAAACCACCTAAGTTATTTATTTTCAGAAGATGATCCAGTGGGTAGGGTGCTAGTCAGACTTAGGAGATCTGGGTTGAATTTCTTGTTCTGCCACAACTTTCTTTGTGACTGTGGCCAAGTCACTTAAGGTATGTCTACATAGCAACTAGTCACCTGTGCCTGATCCGTGCAAGTTGACTCAGGCGTGCGGGGCTCAGGCTGTGGGGCTGTTTCATTGCTGTGTAGACTTCCAGACTCAGGCTGGAGCCCGAGTTCTGGGACCCTTCTACCTTGCAGGATCCTAGAATCCAGGCTTGCCTAACACCCATGAGCGTTAGGTGCTCATAATGCTTTTGAAAAACCCACTACATGCTAAATATCTTTAAAAAACTAGCCCCTAGTCTTTTTGTGTCTTAGTTTCCCCATCTGGAAAATGGGGATAATAGTACTTCCTTACCTCAGAAGGATATTGTGAAGATAAATTCATTAATGATCGTGAAGCAATCAGACACTATAGTAATCACTATAGTAAACATATAAATACCATAGATAAATCAATCAACAGATAAGAATAAAACCTAATAGGCTGCATTCTATATGATTTACCTATGGACAAATACAGTACACAACCCTGTTTTTTATCTGAGAAAGAAAAGTAGGAGAAAGCTCAGGCCCCCCGACTTTGTATTTAGGGAGCGAATATTTCAGTTTTTTTATTTTCTTTGTCTTTGCAACCTAAACTACACACTATAACATTACTGAACACTAAACACATTTGAATATTTTTGTTTTTAGGCTTTTGAAGACATATATATAGAGCAGCGCAAGACTATCAAGACCATGCTGGAATATGCTGACAAGGTTTTCACTTACATCTTCATTCTGGAAATGCTGCTCAAGTGGGTGGCATATGGCTATCAAACATACTTCACTAATGCTTGGTGCTGGCTGGACTTCCTAATTGTTGATGTATGTGATCTATTTTCTAAGTATTCTTTTATATTTCTTTTACTGCCTTCTTTTTATAGAACTCATTAACGTAATATTTATACTCTTGATATTAGCCATGCCAAAATAATTTATATTTAATAAGCAAGGTATTGTAAGCAAAAATTCTTTAAAAGTCACATAGGAATTCAAGATTTGACCAGAATCCTGTAGTTCTTCAAATGCTGTCCAGATATATTCCACTATCAGTGCATGTGTGTTCTATGTGACCAAGATCGGAATCAGCTGGCCAGTAATGTCAGTTGGGCTGACATTACTGCACCCTAAGGGCTGGTCTACACTACCGCTTAAGTCGATGTAACTTATGTCATTCAGTGGTGTGAAAAAGACACCTCCCCCAAGCATTGTAAGTTCCATCTACCTAAGCACTATCCACACCACACTATGTCAGTGGGAGACACTCTCCCGCTGACATAATTTCTGCCTCTTGTGGAGGTGGAGTAATTATGCCAACTGGACAGTGCTCTCCCGTCAGTACAGCACATCTTCAGAAGACATGCTACAGCGGTGCAGCTGCATCTGTGCAGCTTTACTGATGTAGTGCGGGAGGGTAGACTTGCCCTAAGTGTCCTTGTGCATCTCACCAATGCCATAAAAGATGAAGCAGCAGCTTCTGTCACTCAGTTACTTTTTACTGCCCGTGGCTGCAGAATAGAACTCCACAGTTCTAAAATAGAACAGAATAGAACTCCACGAACTCTTGCACCTTTTTCCTAAAATTTTGTGTAAATATTTGTATATGATAGAGTGTGTAGGTTTAATGTGCTAGGATTGCTTGCCCATTGGTATTTTTTTCATAGTGAGCTATTTTGTTTTATTTTTGACAAGAGAAGAATTTTCTCAGTACCATGACTTAGCCATGTCTGAGCCTAAATTCCCAGGATTTAAGAGCTATCCCGTGGAATGATGACTGCACTAAATGCCTTTTCTACCTCAGGAAGAGTCATATCCCCAGTAAATGCTCTATTTGTAAGTCCTATTCCAAAGGGACTCAAGAGGGAAAAGAAGAGCACCTTAAGCTATTCTTGTTAGACTGCTTCATGCAGGTAGTTTAGACCATTGTGGGTCAGCAGCTGTCTCCTGAACCCCATCTTCTAAGACTGCCATGACTACTGATTGAGATAGGACTGAGTGATCCTCAGAGAAAAAAGGAGCATTGCTTCTCTGGAAACATAAGGACATATCCACATTGGAAATCCCAGCAAAAATAAATCACCTCCTCACTTCCATTTGAGGGGGTCTTCATGGCCCGAATCATGTACTGGAGCACTGAGGGAACACAGTACAGCATCCTTGGCACAGCCTCAAGGATCAAGATTGATTGGGTTGATCGGTCCATGGTACCGATTTCTGCCCCAGCACTGCTCACTTTGGCGTCAATCCCTTTGGCATCAGTTTTTACAGTACTGCTCATCTTGATGCTGGCTAGTTTGGGCCTATTCATTTTGGCACCATCCACCCCAGTGACGCCCACTTCCACACCAAGGTTTATGGAATCATCACTCTCTGTACCAAGGATCTTTGCTGTACCAGAAGATCTGCAAATGATGGAGGAGACTGAGGAATTAATTCAGGGAAATCCATGACCAGTATTATACAGAAGTTCAGAATAGATTATCATAGTGGTTCCTTTACAATGTGTGAATCTGTGGGCATGTCTACGCTGTCCTGTTTTCAGTGTCCATGTGGGAGAGTTACAGCTCAGGACTTTGGTGCACGCTGCTATTCACACTCCCTTAGTCCGAATTGAAGGGCAGTGTAGACATGCCCTATGGGTCTCCACTGCTTTCTATTGTGTTGAATATTTCCCCCATGAAACTAACTGTGACTGCTATTGTGGTACCAAGTGCCTCTGCAGCACCAGCTAACACTGTGTTGTGATGCATTCAGGTACCCCAGATAGTGTAGCCTCTCTTCTGGATAAGAAATGTTCCTTCTCCTCGTGTGATTCTCATCAAAAATGGTGACGGATCCCCGATATATTCCACAAGAGCCCCTTATGAATCAGAAAGAGGATCGAGAGCTTCCTACATAACCCAGTCATATAGGGGTTATCTAAACAGGCATATGTCTTAGCACCCTCCTCCCAAGCCCCCCAGGTCCTTATCTATATAATAGTCCTGTCCCTATTGGACTCTTTAGGGCTCATACCACATGAGACAACCTTCATCAGTACAGCTTCCTAGGGTGACAACCTCCTCCCCTGAGCCCCCCCAGATACTTGTCTCAGGTGGCAATTCATTAGCTGGAATCACTAGAACTGTCTTAAGAGAAGGACGCTCAAATGGAGAAACAAACCATACCAGCTGCTATATCTTTCTCATCCCTGGATGAGGCAGTTGTTCCATCTGTACAGTACTATGTCACCCAGATGATTACAGGAACTTTCAAGAGTTGCTCAGATGTATAGCTGTTTCTCTAGAAATCCCAATGATGATGGTAGAGGAGAGTTCCAAAGACATTTAAACATGAACATGGGGGATGGATAGCTCAGTGGTTTGAGCATTGGCCTGCTAAACCCAGGGTTGTGAGTTCAATCCTTGAGGGGGCCACTTAGGGATCTGGGGCAAAATCAGTACTTGGTCCTGCTAGTGAAGGCCCCAATGGACTCGATGATCTTTCAGACTCCCTTTCAGTTCTATGAGCTAGGTATATCTCCATATATTTTCTTCTCACAGCGCACAGTCAACTTGTGGAACTCCTTGCCTGATGAGGTTGTTAAGGCTAGGACTATAACAGCGTTTAAAAGAGATCTGGATAAATTCATGGAAGTTAAGTCCATTAATGGCTATTAGCCAGGATAGGTAAGGAATGGTGTCCCTAGCCTCTGTTTGTCAGAGGGTGGAGATGGATGGCAGGAGAGAGATCACTTGATCATTACCTGTTAGGTTCACTCCCTCTGGGGCACCTGGCATTGGCCACTGTCAGTAGACAGGATACTGGGCTAGATGGACCTTTGTTCTGACCCAGTATGGCCGTTCTTATGTTCTTATACTCCATACCTCTTTACATGGTTGTCTGGCATTACCTATTAATGAAGCCTTATTAGAGTCAGTAAAGCTTATCTGGCAGACCCTAGCATCAGTAACACTGATCTTTAAGGAGACAGGTAAGAGGTACCAGGTCCCATTCACCAGCTTTGAGTAATCTGTTCACTCATCCAATATTTGGTTCTTATGGCAGACCCTCCATATTTGGTGTTCCATAGGGACATGGTTACCCTTAGGTCCCATCCCAAATTCTTATCTGAGGTAGTAACAGTTTTTCACATGAACCAAATGATCCATTTACCAGTTTTCTTCCCAAAACCACATTCTAATCAGGAAGAGGCCAGACAAGACACTCTGCATGTCCTTAGGGCATTATCATTCTAACTGCATAGAACCAAGCCATTTCGAGTTTCCCCAAGACTCTTTGTTGCATTTGCAGACAGATTGAAGGCCCAGGCCATATCAACCCAGAGACTTTCTAAATGATGTCTACCTGCCTTAAATCCTGTTATGAGTTATCCATTTTAGATACCCGCAAGTGTATCCTCCTTCCTTATATCGCATCATTGCTTGTGAGTCACCAAGAGTAGAATATATATGCACAAACTCTCAAAGAAAAAACAACAGTTACTTACCTTACACTAACTGTGGTTCTTTGAGGTATTCTGTCAATATGTATTCCATGATCCACCTTCCTTCCATACTACCATGGAGTCCTTTAACCTCTGGATTCTGTATTGGTGAAGGAACAGAGTGGTGGTTGGGGCTGTTTCCCTTTTATGCCCTCAGCACAGGGCATGAGGACACTCAGCCCCAGGACACTGCTGGGCAAAAGATTCTGATCTCAAACATAAGGGACGCATGTGCAAGTAGAGTACATATATATGGACAACATGCCTTGAAGAGCCACAGCTAATGTAAGGTTAGGTAAGTAACCAGTTCTTCTTATTATTTAGTTGTATTTTGCTTCTGTCTTTATACTTTTTCCTACTTTTTGATATTGTGCAAGTTGAGTGGTTAGAATTTGCATTTGTTGTTATTAATATTTTAATAATATTTCAACTTGTATTTGATATAATTGCTGTTACATGACCATTTAAAAGCATCAGTTTATTCTGAGTACAGACTAATGATTCAGTCATCTATAATGTATATACATCACAGGGGAAAGGAAAATGCAGTCTGAAATGCTCTTTAACACACCTTCTGAACGTTGAGTAGCATCAAAACCTTTAGATGATGATAGCACATCCACCAAATTCCAAGGGCTATGAAGTAATTGCTTAGGATGTGCACAGCTGCTAAATGGATTGGGCATGCAGTTACAACATATGAAGGAGCTACATCTTACAATGTAATAGATTGTGAAATCCTAGATCTCCTCTTAAATTTGTCCAAAATCCTTAATTAGTGCTGTGGGAAAATGAAAGCCTTCTTGATGCATTCCTTACTCAGAGTAAAATGAGATACTGGAGAACACTGAAGCCATATTGCTGCAATATAGAAGGAAATATTCTACCTCCCGCCCCGCTTTTTGCCATTTTTTTGAACCTGCACAACATGTTATATTTTTAATAAAGTTGATTATGATCATTGTGGGTGAAGTCCTAGCTCTATTGAAATAAATGGGAGTTTTGCACTGACTTCAGTGGAACAGAACAGAAAAGATATTAACATACTTTCCTAAAAATAAAAACATTCGATATCTGAACTTCCATTGCACAAGTGCCAGCATGTAGCTACAGAGCGGCTATGTAGGGAACAAAGACTACACCTGTAGTACAGGTGCAGCAACTTCAATAAGCCCTTCAGTCCAAATCCATCATCGAACTCATGATGTCTGTGTTTGAAATTAGGCAAGATGAGTTAATTCTTCCCTTCAAGGGTTGCTAACTTTTCCAATCCTGCTGTGCTATGCTGTGTTATGCTATGATGGATCATGGGCAGGAGAGATCAATCCTTTATTTATTGATCCTGTGTTATTTACAGCATTATATATTAATAGGTTAATTTAATACATTAAAGTACACTAGCCCTCATCCTGCAAGCATATATGTTGCAATTACTTATGAACTAGTGGCCCTCCAACTATGCTGTTTTAGGGCGTTGTCACCTAAGCACATACACACAATTCAGCAAAAAAAATTAATTTTAGATTGAAAACATTTTGTATGTGGGGTACAAATGCGTTGCACTGTTATCCTGGGTTTTTAGTTCTATGTACACCTTTGCTTCTAGTGAGAGTATCTTGTATTCTAATAGTGGTAAGTATGTCTTCCTCGGTAAGCAAGCTGGGATTTTTTTACATAAATTTAATTTGCATATGTTAACTGATAATACGTTTGTGGGATAATATTGTACCCCATGAACATGTGTGTTACGATAAGTCATGAACTAGTGACCATCCAAGTAGGCTGTTTTAGGACCGTGCGTATGCTAATTGATAATGCCTTGCAGTGACGGTGGTTGCTGCATACAGTCATCCTAAGGTAGAAGGTACTTCAAGGATGTTGGTTCCTTCAAATCTGGGCTTGTTAGGTATTCTCAACAGAGTGGACTGATGCTGGATATCTTTGCTTGACACTTGTAAGAGGCTTTTCTGTCTAGTTATTGTGCTCCAAATACTGCAGACTCAGGAGACTCTTAAGGGGATTTTTTGTGTTGCACAGTTCAAGATGGCGAACAAATGGGCACAGTATTCTATTTCTGACCTTATAAAAATGATTTTTGATGATAGTGACTTTGTGTCAGATTGTGTTGAGAGTTGCTCTGAGAAGGAAGACTATGTGTCTGTTGATTGTTCATCAAGTTCGTCTTCAGACAATGAGCTTTTATCCAGGCAAGAATGAATATCTAGAACCCTGAGCATGGGCTCAGAGGACACATGCCTGGAAAGGAGTATGGCAGAAGGGGATACAGGAATAAAATACTATTTCAATACCATTACCCAAAACTCCTACCTCAGAACCACTGCTCTGATTATGTGCAGGAGGGAGATCAAGCCCACTATTCAGCTTTGTAGCTACTGAAAACACACAAACTGATAAACAATTTTCCTGTAGTGTATTTAAACTCTTGCTGTATCTGCCATAGGCCCCCCAGCATGACCTTGAAATCAGTTAAGATTTTTTGATTTCAGAAATGTCATTAAACATTTTACCAATAAGCTTTCCCAGCCTTATACATTGTTCATGACCAGGGGCAGTGTGTGATGAAAAGTTTGCATTTGATTCAGCAGATCCATCAAAAAGATCTGACAATCTAGGGGTAGATTTCAAACGAGAGTTAAAAAGTTCATCTACATCATTATCCTGGGGAAACTGACCTGGCCTTGATTCAGGCAACCTCCACATCAGTCTTTGTATAAGAGTTAGAACAAAGACCCGAAGGGCTCAGACCATATGGTGGTCATGATCTCCAGTCCTTACAAGATAGTATCTGACCCCCCCACAAATCCATCCTCTTCGCTAGAAAGGGAGATATCAAATCCATAATTTTAGAGTGAGTGAGGAATGGATGGGAGCACTTATGGTGGCGGCAGAGGCACCACGTCACCAAGATTTGTGGGCTTACTGATGGGTTTTAACCATTGCTAGTAAATTTAGGTAATTCAGCCCAGCTCCTTCTGCCCTCAGACCACTCTTTCAGACTACAGCCTTTTGCTATGATCTTATCCTAGGCACAAACACTTCAAATCTCCGCCCCAAAACGTTCCCCAATCAGTTCATATCTTCCAATCAAGAATAAACAAATCTACCATTGCCACCGCAGGCACCCAGCATGTAATCCATGATCATGTCAACCTATAGAGCATGGAAAGTGAGCAAGTCAGGGAGAATGAATGGTCAGTGAAAAGAAGTGAATCAGCTGTGGGACTGATCTTTCATACCAATTTACAGAGGATCATTCTTGCTTCATCAGCTGTTGATCAATAATATTGTAAATTCTGAACAGATTTTTATCATTTCCCTATTGACTGTGGCTCTCAAATACAATCAAATGGCCATTATCAACACTATAATGGCTCAAAGAATGTTCTAAAAATTTTAATGTGTAAGAGTAAGATCAGTACCTAGACTGACAAACAGTGTAGATTCACTTTAATTTCCTCTGTAGGGATTTTTTTGTGTATGAGAATTTTTGTTTTCCTTCAAATCTTAGTGTATCACAAACAAGATATGAGAATACAAAATATTTATGCTTCCTTGTATCAGCCAGTATTCATCAATGGGTATATTATGGCATTATTCCCCTATTTCTCCTTTAATTCCTTTATGCTACTCCTTCCTTTTTCTCCTACTTTTTTCCTTAATTTAAAAGATTTTCTCCAGGCTACAGAAAGATTTCTGAAGAAAGTACTCCAACTTAGATTGCATTACAGCCTTCTCAAGTAGAATCTATGGGATATATAGTGGTATGTACAAAATGAGTAATTTTTGCTTTTTTGTTTTTTATGTAGGTCTCCTTGGTTAGCTTAACAGCGAATGCATTAGGTTACTCGGAACTTGGTGCCATTAAGTCCCTTAGGACACTAAGAGCTTTGAGACCTCTGAGAGCCTTGTCACGATTTGAAGGGATGCGGGTAAGACAAAATGAAAGAACCTGAAATAATGCATGCCTAAAAAGAAACAATGCATGCAGAATAAGGAATGACAAATCCATGCAGAAAGGCTGTACTATCCTCCTATCTACTGAGTATCTAAAAGATAAGCAAAAGGCTTTATCAGCTCACCTAAATCCATATGCAATATCATACTTTAGTTGTGTTCATTCCAGTTACTTTACTTTCTAGCCAATCTCAGGAGTTTTTCTTTAAGGATACAGAAATAATCATCGAAATAAATATATTAACTCTTAACGGATTTTCTAAAATTGAGTTCAAGATGAATGGATTTTGTACAATTTGGTGCTGATAAACATACCACAAGGTTTCTACAAGAATCTGATTCAGCACCAGTTTAAAAAAGTACCTTCCTTGTTACAAATTCAGATCTTTTATATTTTCATTAAAAATAAAGCTCCAAATTCAGCTTTGTTGTAACTGTTGAAGTTCACTCGATCGCACCAGCGTTGAATTTGACCCAGTTAGTAGTTTTACATCTATTTCTGTCAGTGGCTGACGGACACATGAGAAAAAATATGAATTATTTTTCAGGATTATTTTTCTTGATGAGATAATTTATTGTAAAATAACTATTCTGTTGACTCCAGGAAAAATCCAGTTATTCAGTACTACACACACATTATATTTAGTTCCTATTTTGAGTAAGTTAGAATCACTGTTCTCCATCTCACACAAGAAATGGTCTCTTTTTACTTAGCGTTTCCTTTGTCTACTATTTTCTGTTCCTTCTAGCTGCTGAATACAAACTAGCCCAATGTGCATGTCATTGAAATCTATTTAATTTTAAGAGAATGATTTTTCCACTTCATGGAAACATTAGCGGAAGCAGCTTTCTGATAATGTCAAAATCAGATCTAATTTAGTAAAATAGACAGTTTGCAATGTACTGTCTAAATTGTATTTAGATATACGGTAACTCCACACTAGTATCATGAAATCAAATTCAGATAGTTAGAATTGAGGTCCTCAAATTGTATCCATCATGTTACATATCTTTACTTCAGACTTCACAAGAAAAAACTATTAACTCAAACATGACTAGATTCATGAATTTCAGTTTCAGATGACCATGTCTTAATTTAACAAAGTCCTTAAAATTATAAATTTGTGAATTGATAAATTAGCCAAATGTGATAGGCTAAGAGCTGGGTCAAGTACTCCAGTGTTTCTTTTGTCTGCTTGCAGGAAATAGTAAATTTGGGGGGAGAAATTAAACCTCTTTGCTTTCTTGCATTGCATATACCTACAATGAGCTGTGGCAAAACTGGCTGATTTTTGATTCAGCAAGTGTCTTTTTCATTTTAAGATTTTTCACCACCTTCAAAAAGATGCAGAATATTTTCTGGAAAGGAATGAAATTTATTCCTCAACGCCTCTGTAAATAAGAGACTGTTAACAGGTTCTCAGCTGGTGTAAATTGGTATGGTCCCATTGATTTTACTGGAACTGTGCCAATTTAAAGAAAAATCTGATATCAGAAATCTAGTTTAGATTATGATCCTATTTTTAGGAATGTCCTGTTTTCTATTTTAGTGAATTGGGAGAGTGTGAAAATTTCAACAAAAAGTGCTTTTTCAACCTTTTACCAAGTCAGTAAAATCCTAATGAATCCAATCCGTTCTGTTGGTTCTAATGTATACATTTCACTGTTCACTAATATTTGTCTATGATATGGTTATATATTAACTTGGTTATTCTCTGTTGCAAATATTATTCCTTGTGCAGAGGGCTGGCACAAGGCCTGTGAGCCATTTAGGTAAATATAGGTCTGAAGTGTTCCATAGACTGTGCTAGCCCCATGCACAGGAATGAGTTTTGCCAGAATAAGAACATCTGAAATAGGATTCTGTTGTTGCATTGTATTCTGAGAAGTGTTTAATACTTCAAACCAATGAACTTCAAAAAAACCCTAACTCCACCCAGATGCTGGAAGGCAAAGTAAAGAATTGCTTTCATTTAAATTAAATCTCAGTCACAGATTTAGGGTTATGTTCACATCTCAATGCATGTAGATTAATGATGATTACCTGCAAACTAAGATTTGAATATACCCATTGCTTTTATGTTAAGTTTTTTATTACTCTTTGTAACATAATGCTCTTGCACTAGTTCTGAATTTGTATGCTATTTTAGATGTGGAAAATCAAATATACATTGCTTTGTCTAATTGGTTTAGGCAATAATAATGCATGTGTTTGTGTGTAGCTTCAATGAATAAAGCATGTTGTGCCGTGCTTGATTTCTGCATTAGAAAAGTAGGAGCAAGCAGAAGACCATTTTTAAAAATTATCCACATTGCACTTTCAGTTTTGCATGTTTTATGCACATTTCTCGCTGATGGCTTTAAACATTTACCGTATTTCAAATTTCCAGTCCAATTTCTCAACATGTAAAATTAAATAACAGTAATTGATGTCTTAAATATACTCCTAAAATTCAAAAGATATTTCTGAGATTCCCTTACCAGGGAAATGATGTTGAGGCTTGAACACCTTATTTTTCAAGAGCACTCTAGACTTAAAAGAAAATTGACAGTATCACATACCGCTAAGTTATAAAGCGTAACACCAAGTGTTTCGGTCATTACAGATACCTAATTAATAATAAATTATATATTTCTATTTCATATAGGATAATCTTTCTTCAACTTGGATGGGGTGGAGCGCTGGTTCCTCCCCTCAATCCTTTATTATGAGTACTGTATTCTCCCCTTTGCTACCCTTAATCCTTTCACTGTGTCTAATTACTACATGGAGTGGGGCCAGAGGGGACTGTTCTAATTTGAGTGTCCCAATAACATTATTATAGTTGATACTTCCATTCTACACCCCTCTTTTTAATTGCTTTGACCTTTCCCAAAAAATACCTTTGGGATTGAAATTTTTCATGTTTGATCTCACCAGAGAAATAAATTTCTGTGGAAACCTTAGTGAAAATCAGTTTAGCTATTTTGAGTTATCAGAGCTAGTGTTGCAGGAGGAAAGTTTGTCAGTGCTTAAGACATTTTTAGATGCTCTTTTTTTCACTTGGCTCTATCACAAACAGGTTTGAGTTAAACTTCTAATCTGTCATCTATGTAGTCCTGAAAGAGGATGTGTGCTTTGCACTGTTCAAAGATATTTGGTCTGCAGTTATGAACATTTTAAAGTGGTATGCAGAGCGTACACAGTATATTACTTTATTTACAGTCAGCACACACAGTGCTATGATTTGAATATTCACAAGAATAGATAATCCTATAGTCAGTCTCTCTATATTATTTAATTTCATGTTTGCTGGAGTTTTTTAAAATGCATACACTGAAAAAATGGATCAGTTTACTGAAAGAACTCATAAGCACACAGATCACATTTCTAAAACTGAGACATCACATTTCTTTTTTTAAACATAACTCATAAAATCATCTTACCCTTCATAGAACAGAAGAGATAAAGGCAGGGGGGAAACAAGATAGAAAGTATGATAGGAAGAATTAGGGCCTCTGATGAGATATTGCCAATAGGTCCTGAAGTATTTTCAATCTTATCATTATCTTTCTACAATCTGGAATTTTTCTTACAGGAGCCTGTCTCTGTTAGAGATGGAAATTTTCCTTGTTCTTATGAAGATATTCTTAGCAGTTAAAATGCCAATAACAATCTTATGTAATTTTGTCTTTTGTCAATCCTTGAAGTTTAGAAACATTACACGGGAGGCACATCACTGATTTAAAAATATGCATTCATTGTCATATCCTTTCAAAACACAATTATTTGAATACAGCTCTAGAACATAAGTGTGAGATCACCAGATGGATGAGAACATCCCTGGAATAGCCCAGAGTCTTCCAGGTTTAATCAGTTTACTTTTGATGGTTCCAGTATGAATGATGCATCAAGTTAAACTGCATTAGTTTTAACTGAGTATTTTTGTCACCTTTGAGGTCTTTGTATTCTAAGTTTGAACCAATCAACAGTTGTATAAGTTTCCCCTTCCATTTAGATTATGAATTTGTTGGAAATCTGTCTATCTATAATATGTTGTTGATCAGACAGTTATATCATTTGGGGTTTTTTTCTTTGAGAAATCTGATTTTATTTACCAACCCAGATTTCTAAACACTCAACCAGGACCCCAGCATCTTAGGAACCAACTCTTCAATTACAAAAATGTACAAAAATTAACTCTGTCAAGATTCTGTCTCTAAGTCTTCAAAAATCACAAAATGAATATAGTAGTACTCTGTGATCATTCTCATAGCAGCCAGTAATTCTAGTTGACTTTACAGTTAGAAGAATGGCTTATAACTCTCTGAAGAAATAACTTATCTAGCTGAATTTTCTCATGTTTTTTATCAGGTTTTTTGTTTGATTGAATTTTAATGAAAATTCATTGAGTCATTTTTGAGGATCATAAATTGAAATAAGCATGGTTTTTATTAAATACTTATTGAAATACATTGTGTGTTTTCTTTTTGCCATTTTTTTTAAATTAAAAGCAAATAAATTAAGATCAATAAAGCTACATTAGTGTAATGGTAAGATTGTATTTTTACAAAAATTAGGAAATTCTGCGATATGGTTTCCTGCATCAACTAGTTATTTTGTTTCCTTTTCCATGTGCATTTACAATAGTGTCTTTCATTACATTATCATATAACTTCAGTCAATTTGACATACTGGTTGGCAGATAGTGTATAGGGTAGGAAAGGATGTAAAAGAAACATTTTTTCTATATTATTCCTTCAAAAAGACTTAATCATGTAATGAGTATGTATTAAAAAGCAGGGTTAAGGTTGCTCTGGGAACTGTAGGTTCTTATTAAATCAAACAGTTTAGTAAAATTCAAAAAGAGATTAGCAAATTATATGAATAAAAATAGCATCTGCAGTTGCACTAGCCAAATTAAATATTTACAAGAGCCATCAGTTCTCATACTTTAAGGCATAAACTGACCACCAGTTGGGATTGGGTAGAAAT